ATAGAAAGTCAATGAGAACTATCACTGACACGGTGCAGGTAGCTTTGACCAAATACTACTGAATGTGCTTTGCAATCAGCTTGTGTAGAACTTCATAATATACAATATATCATAAATTTACAAATTGGAAAAGAGGCTAGTTCACAAATCCAATAAATTGATGCACATCCTTCACATTGGTTGGCCACCTCATCTCTGAATCTATACATACTTTCCCTCAGTTATCTTCAGTTTGTTCCAACTTTAAACAAAACAACAGCCTCAGAAGTTGTTTACTTTATTGGCTTCGAGCAGACCACTCCCATCTCTGTCTCAAACTCCCTTCACAAAATAAACCTCCAAAAAATGCAATTCTTTTAGCCATAGTATCATCTCATAAAATAATTGCTATTTGCGACATGATGGCTCAATGGCTAGCCCTGTTGCCTCACAATGCAAGGGACCCGGGTTTAATTCCAGCCTTGGGCGACAATCTGTGTGGAGTTTGCATGTTCCCCCTGTGTCTGTGTGGGTTTCCTCTGTGTGTTCCGGTTTCCTCCCACAGTCCAAAGATGGGCAGTTTAGGTGGATTGGCCATGCTAAATTGCCTGTGGTGTCTAGGGTGTGAAATGCTCTTCGGAGGGTCAGTGTGGACTCGATGGGCCAAAAGGCCTGCTTCCTCACTGTAGGGATTCTATGATTCAAAGGTTCAATGAAATGGCATCCACTGTGAGTTTAGAATCTGTTGCTTTCATTCAAATTCACTTTCCAGTTTCCAGTATCTAAGAAACAAAGACCTATGCTTTGGCAGATTGTGGTAATGTTTCTTCCAAACCACCTTCGATCAAGAATGAAGCAATGGGACACATCCTAGCTCCAACAGCTTAATTGGGGTAAACTAACCACAGAGGTCAGACTTATGTTCTAGAAAGGCAGGGTACCAGGAAAGGCAACTGCAGCACAAAAGCAGAGGCTGCACGCTGCAGATGTGGGCTCGGTGCAAGACCTGTCTGTGCTATGGCGCTTTGGGGAAGATTGATAACATGCTAACCAAACTGAAAAGCTCCAACCTTTAAGCTCTGTTAGAAACCATCCATGCTCATCCACTTGATGTTCTGCATCACCTGGTTACCCCTCAATGCAAACAAAAACCCCTTAAGCCTGTTTGCATTCCTGTACCTTGTACACCACCCCTCATACCTCCAATACATCTATAACCCAGTTTCTCATCCAGACCCACTCCTGCAAAGGTGAGAATTTCTACCCCCAAAGGCAAGCCTTCCAACCTCGAGCCACTTCTGCCATTGTTACCGCTGTGATGAAAACCTGGGTCCCTGTTGCTTGTGGTGCAGAAAATGGTTTCTCCTTCATTTGCCAAATCTGAAGCCAGAGTGCCAATTGCCATGACAAGCTGCAGTGTTCAAATGAAAACAATGCAATAAGATAATTCTGCAAACAAAGCAGACCCATCAATGAGGAATCACATACAAGCTAACAGGCAGGATGCTCCTGCCTCGATGAACTCTGGGAATCAAATATGGCAAGTCCCTGAGAAAAAAAAACTGCATGGTATTCGCTGGTTAAACTGCAGTGATACATCAGTGAATGCTGGATTAAAAGTATGGGCAGCATACAGAGCGAGAGAGAGGGACAGCATCCAAAAGACTAACTTGATAGACATGGTCTCTGAGTAATAGATGTGTAGCCAGGGAGAGTGAACCAGTTCATGATGATTGACAATTACCTTCCAGCCTTTGTTTAAATTTTAAACCAAGCTGTTTGATTCTGATTGGCCAAAGCATCGCACTGCAGGAATAAAATATGCAGAAGGCCTGTGGAGTGACTGGAACCAGCTGGATCGTGTTGACTTCAAAATCCTTGATTGGGATTGTCAGTCTGATTCGCTTATGGCCGTTCTATTCGTCACAGAAAATGTGGTAGATACATGGGCTTTACAGATGAAGTCCTCATTGCATGCATTCTATCCCTCTTCTGTAAAACAAAATGAGTGGTTTCAGGGGACTAATTGTTTATACTGATAGTTCTGTTGTTACAAAAGCATAAAATGGGAAGTTGACACTCAGATGTGCTTTTGTTCTGGCTGTAAGCTTTGAAGGAAACTGCAATTTCTTCTTGGGAGCTTGGTGTAACATCAGCTGCAATATTTTGTGCTGCTTTGGTCTCCCTCACTGAGAAAGGATGGACTTACCATAGATGGATTGCACTATGGGTATACTAGGCCTATACCTGAGATGGCAGGACTGACTTAGGAGAAGATATTGATCCTGCATTAACTATAGTTGAAAAGGATAGATGGGATCTGATTGAAATGTATAAAATTTTAACAGGACTAGATAGAATCACTGCAGGGATGATGTTCCCTTGGTTTGGGAGTCTAGAACCAGGCTCACATTCTCAGAATATGGTGACTGGCTGAGATGAAGAAACACTTTAGTTTTCACTCAGCGAGCAGTAATTCAGTGGAATTCTCTAAAACAGAAGGCAGTGGAGGTCAAGTGACTGAATACATTCAAGAAAGAGTTTGAGAAAGTTTCACACTACTACCTGCCCTCTGAAATGGTTCAGTTAGGTTGTAGACTTGCTTGCCGAGACAGTGGGTTTGATTGCAGATGTTTCGTCAGCCTGCAAGGTAACATCATCAGTGCGCTTCTGGTGAAACGTTGGTGATCTGTCTTGTTTGTTATTTGTACACCTCGGTTTACTGGGGTGGTTAGCATCAACTCCGGTTCTGTTTTTCAGTGATTCGTATATCGGGTCCAGTTCAATGTGTTTGTTGACGGAGTTCCAGTTGGACAATCCACCTTCACCTCTGTGACAGACCACGACAGGAAGACACAAAATGACCAGACACACTAGACACTCTACCATACATCAGAGACGTATCAGAGATGACCACAAGGCTACTCAGACCCCTCGGTATCAGGGTAGGCCACAAACCAACAACCATCCTGCAACGGCTACTGACGAATGTCCTCATACAAAAAAACAAACTTAACATACAAAATACCATGCAAGGATTGTGAAAAACATTACATAGGCCAAACTGGAAGAAAACTGACAATAAGGATACACGAAAACCAACTAGCCACGAAGAGACATGCCCAATTCTCATTGGTCTCAATACATACAGAAAAGGAAGGACATGAATTTGACTGGGACAACACATCCATAATAGCATGAGCCAAACTGAAACATGCCAGGGAATTCCTTGAGGCCTGGCATTCCATCTGGAGCTCCATCAACAAGCATGGTGAACTTGACCTGATATACGAACCACTGAAAAACAGAACCGGAAGTGATGCCAACCATACCAGTTCTGGTCACCCAGTTACAGGAAAGGATATTATTAAGCTGGAGAGGGTTCAGAAGCAATTTACCAGGATGTTGCTGGGTATAGAATGTTTGACTTATAACAAAACACTGGATAGGCTGGAACTTTTTTCACTGGAGTGAAGGAGGTTGAGAGGTGAGAGTTTAGAAGTTTATAAAATAATGAGGCATATAGATAGAGTTAATGGTCATTGTCTTTTCCCTAGAATGGGGGCTTTCAAGTCTAAAGGGCATATATTTAAGGTTAGGGGGGACAGTTTCAAAAAAGACATGAGGGGCAAATGTTTTACACAGAGGGTGGTTCACATGTGGAATGAACTTCCTGAGGAAGTGGTGGATGTCGGTAGGAATGAATTTATTGAATTCAACAGTTGTCGAAAAGATTTACAAGGATGTTACAAAGATTGGGGGGCATGCATTGTAAGGAGAGGTCAGACAGTCTAGGACTTCTTAGCTGATACGAAAATAGATGGTAAAGCAGGTTGTGATGAGGAAATAGAGTTTACAGATGGATATTAAGAGGCCAGGAGAATGGGCCAGAATTGGGCAGATGGTTAAAAGAAATGGCCATGGATATGGCAGGAGATTTGCAATGGATAATAAAGTTTATTCAGGCAAATGATCTCCTTCTGCACTGTAATTATTCTGCGATACTATTCCCAGGAGAGGGCAGGGAAGCAGAAAATGTGATGTTATTTGTTTAATGAGTGTAATTAAAGTTCCATATTGATTTTTATCACCTGGGCACTGAGAGATCCATAAATGGTTCTTGCCTGTGGGTAGAAGCTGCACTTACCCTGAAACATAACAGTGCAAAGTGAATTCCCATTCGCTTAGAAATAGAATGGGACGGGCAGCAATCCTCCAGATAAAGGACATTTACTATCCTGTTCTGGCAACCTTTGGTGTTCCTGGTAAGTCAGTGAATCCTTATTGGTGAATTGTTGTCATGGGAGCTGAAGGTTTGGTGCCTGATAGATATTTTTGCATTTCCCCTCTTACACCAGTGCTGTACAATTCCAGGGAAGCTGGAACACAGCGTTTCAAATGTGCTTGTGGCAAGGGAGGTATTTGTCCAAGTGATGCAAAATGGGAACTTGAAATTCCTCTATGTAGTGCTAGATTTTCTCTCTCTGTCTCCCTCTGTCTCTCTCTTTCTCTGTCACTCACGCTCCCTCTCCACCCCGAGCCCTTTCACAGTACAGCATCTGCCTTTGAGTGACACCTCTTTGATCACTGACATTCTTCAATCTGTTTAATGCTGGCAAGCAACTCCATGTTGTTTTTTTGGAAGACATGTTATGAAATGCTTGTTGGAGGAAACATTGAAATGAATCAGGGAACCAACTCTTTCTGTGGAGACGCCTCTAATAATTCCTGACACCAGAATGCAGTCCTGAAACAGGCCCCATTGCATGATGGGGAACATTTTGGGAATACCAGGGTGCAGTTTATTGGAAAATGGGGAATGACATTCATGGGAATGATTTCAGCCTATCACATCTTGTTTTATCTGTTGCCCTCTATCTTCCTTGACCTAGTGAAAAGTGATCAGTTCGACTCATATCAGGAATCTGCTTGTATCAGATATGAAAAAAATAATAGATATATATATTCCATGTGGGCACAATAATGTTCGACTTCTCTGTCTGTTTCTTGCAGCAAATATTATGACAATTCTGATTCTCTCCCGAGGAAATTGTGGCCTTTCAAAATGTATCTCTGTCTACATGGTGGGCATGGCAGTAGCAGATCTATTCATCATGGTCTTCAATGTGATAGTGTACTTGATATTTAATTATCACTTTCCATATTCCTTTCTGTCTTACACTGCTGTATGTAAGTTTGTCTTGTACATAACTTTTGTTACTCTACATATGTCAGTGTGGTTCACAGTCACATTCACGTTTGACCGATTTGTGGCAATCTGTTGTCATGACTTTAAAGAAAAGTACTGCACCAAGAGAATTGCAACTACAGTTATGGTAACATCTTCTGTCCTGACTTGTTTAAAGGGTGTTCCTATGTTCTTTTCATATGAAGCCGAACGAATAATTAACAATGTGCAATGGGGGTGCAGGACAAAAGCAGCTGTTTATACAATGCCCGCATGGTCAGTGTACAGTTGGCTGCAGTCAACATCAGTAGTTTTGCTTCCTTTTGCTCTCATGACCTTGTTTAATTCTTTGACTATCAGGCGTATTTTATTGGCTAACAGAACACGCAAGGATCTCCGAAGTAAAGGCAATGAGGTTCAGAGTGATCCAGAGGTAAAAGGTCGGAGGAAATCCATCATATTACTCTTCACTGTGTCAGGCAGCTTTATTCTGTTGTGGTTAACATCTGTTGGAAGTTTTGCAACCACTCGACTATCAAGCAGTGTTTATTATCAAGGTGATTACTCAAATCCTGGATATATAGCCACGGAAACTGGATATCTGCTTGAGTATTTGAGTTCCTGCACAAACACATGTATTTACGCAGCAACCCAGAGGAAATTCAGAGAAGAGCTGAGAAATATTCTGAAGCCTCCTTGCTATAAATTTCTTGATTTTTTTTTAAAGATAGTGAACACAAACCTCCCCCAGAAAAATGTCATCTCATAACTAAAATAAGGTTTGATCTGTTTTTCTGTGTAAGAATGTCAATCATCCTGAGAATCTGGCAATGGGAAATTTTGGAAATGACACAAATGATCTTCAATAAAAGCTGATGAAAGCAAATGAATTCAATTTGTTCACCATGTCAGGACAGTCTACTTAGCTTCCAAGATTGGGTGTTTTCAGACAAGCGTGGCCGTAGGACTACATGATAGCCAAGTCTTATCAGAATGCCATTAAAGTTTGCTTCCAGCTGCTGGCTACAATTTGAGGTAAAGATTTACTATAAGTAACTTTAGCAACTTTACAAATTTGTTTCTCATTTTCTATATCACAAAAATCTGCCAAGCTAACCGCTAAGGAAAGCGGTGTACAAACTTCACCCTTCCAGTGACCTAATACTGCACAACTTATGTTAGACCCTATGCAGGATAGAATTAATTTTTCAGCCAACCAGCTGGACTTCCTGAGCACTCTGGAGCAGGGATACTGCCATAAATGCTCATTGGAATATTGAAACTGTCAGGACGGAAGTCCTGTGTTGGATTGAACATATGTTTACTTAGAGGCAGGTGGTTCTGAAGAAGGGTCACTGGACTTGAAAAGTTAAACTTACTTTCTTTCCACAGATACTGCCAGACCTGTTGAGTTTCTGCAGCAATTTCTGTTTTTGTTTCAGATTTTCAGAATCCAGACTTTTTTTTTGCCAAATATGTGAGGTGGTGATTGCCTGAATGGATATTACAGTTGCCTGTTTTGGAGGCTGTAATTAGAGTCGAAATGCTTCATAAAGGCTTGTGGCTTCTTTCTTGTTGAAACATTGCTTATCCAAAAGGTTTTACACTTCATCAAGGGAGAGCTGATTTCCAGGCAGTCCCTCAAATGGAACATAACCTTCAAGAGTTACAGGAGCAGCCTTCTCATGTCTCCTCTCCATTCCTCTGGTCGCTGTAGCTTCCAAATCCAAGTCCTGGTGGAGCACTGCAAATTATGCTGTGGTTCTTTGAGCTAGAATTCTAATCTTTGACAGATACAGTGCACATCTCTCCCTTCCCTGATTAGTCAGTGAATGAAGAGACAGGAAATATTTAACTTGCTTTGGGAAATGAAATGGTAGGATACACAATGTCAGTAAATTGGGCTTCTAACCCAATTGAAGTGCAATTTGGGATGCGCAAAACCTAAGGGTGCAGGTGTTTTTCCACTCCAAGCCCTGATATCTTCCCACACGATACCCATCACCCCCAATCACAATCTCTTGTCCCAATCCCTATGTCATGTTTTATTTTTTCCCCTTGTCTAATCCCTTTCCCACTTACATTCAATGATCCCTTTGATCCGCCTCAGAATTTCCAATTTGCGGTGTCCAGTCACCTCGTCTTTACCATGGATGTGCAATCCCTTTACACATTTTCCCCCCATCAGGATGGTCTCAGGGCTCTTCACTTAATCGTGGAACAAAAGCCTGAACTGTACCTATCCATCACCACTCTCCTCCGCCTGGCCGAGTTCATCCTCAACCTGAACAACTTCTCTTTTAAGTCCTCTCACTTCCTTCAGGTCAGAGGGGTAGCCATGGGTACCCACATGGGCCCCAGTTATGCCTGGCTCTTTCTGAACTACGTCGAACATTCCTGGTTCCAGTTCTATTCCAGCGCCCACCCACAACTCTTTCTCTGGTATATCAATGATATCATCGGTGCAGCATCCCTCCCTCATCTCGAATTGAAAATTTTGATCAATTTAGCTTCCTATTCCCAAACATATCGCATTAATCCTGGAAAAATTCAGGGTTTATGTATTAAAATTGTCACTCTCTCTCTGTCTGCATCTCTCTGTCTCTATGGCCTGGCTTCTGTCTATGTCCTGATATTTGTTTCTGTTTCTGTCTAACTTTGTCTCTCTCTCTCTTTCTGTTTCTGTATCAGTGAGGAGCCTGCGTACAAGCTAAATGCTTCTATTTCTTGACTCCTGGAGAAAAGCTGACTTTGGTTCTGCATCTCCAAATCTCCAAATGATAAATGATAGATAAATAGTAAGATGTTTCTTATTTCTGAAGAAGGGTCCTGACCCGAAACATCAACTTTCCTGTTCCTCTGATGTTGCCTGGCCTGCTGTGTTCCTCCAGCTCCGCACTGTGTTATTTCTGACTCCAACATTTCTTGCCATCTCTGAGATGTAAAATGTGTTTTTAATTAGGATGTGAAATGGAGACATTTTGTCCTCTCGACTAAGTGCAAAGTAAATGAGACACAAACTCTACACACGTGTGAGAGCGCAGTAGAGGATGTCAAAAAAATGGAGAATTGATGGTACCATGTTATATCCTTTCTGTACACAAACGTTGCCATACCTGCTGAATTTCTCCAGCATTTTCCTTGTTTGGTTTGGAAGAATGTTATCCTGTTTTCAACTGGAAGAACCATGGATTGTGTTGTTTTTGAATTTCTGAGATGAAACCTGAATGACTTCACAGAATCATAGAATCACTATCGTATGGAAGCAGAACATTCAGACCACTGAGTCCAAACCAACCCTCAGAAGCGTTTGATTGATTATATTTTATCATTTTTTTGCTCTTTTCTTGATGAAACCAATTCTTGAGCATTGCACAGTCATGTTTCAGTGAAAGACGATCTTGTCAAATGAAAAAAATAAAAGAATACAAATGAAGCGTCATTTAAATGGGAGATCTCTCTTGACCAGTAGAACATCAGCATTCTTCATAATGCAAGGAATAAAGAATCAATTTTACATTTTGTCCATATTTTTTAACAAGGGAAAGTAGAATACAATCAGAAAATGATGTTCTATTTCCCTGGGAATTAGTGAGAACACACATACAGTGCTGTGAAACCTTGCCTTTCCTCGCTAAGTAATGGCATTCTTGCCTTGGATCTGCTGCACTTGTCCTTCTATATTCCCTCTCAACACCTGCTACAAGTTCAGTCTAGCAGCAGTGTCCTTTTGCACTCAGCTACTCCAAGTCTGTATCGGTGCTATCAAACAACTGTTGGTGATGGATATTTAGGTCCCACATGAAGAGCACAATCCTTACCACCATCAGTGCTTCTTCCATAGACTGTTCACCATGGAGGAGTGTAGAGTCATCATCTGTGAGTAAAATGGAATAGATGGGATTCAGCAGCAGGTTATCTGTCCCATACTTCAGAAGATGCCATGTGATTTCATGATTCTGGAATGAATGGTGAGGACAGGCAAGGGAACACAATTCCAAACATATTCTATTGTCCCTCCACCTCTGTCCTGATGGTTATTAAGAAAATGTCCTGAGTTGGTGATATCAAGATTTTTAGCATTATCGCTCAGGCACAGTATCATTCTGTGAGCGTGACTGTGAGTTTGTGATAACAAGGTGTGAAGCTGGATGAACACAGTAGGCCACGCAGCATCAGAGGAACAGGAAAGCTGACGTTTTGGGTATGGATCCTTCTTCAGGAATGGGGCAGGGGAAGGGGACTCTGAACTAAATAGAGAGAGGAGGAGGCGATGATGGAGGGTGGATAGAGGTGCAGATTGGTGGAGAGAAGACGGACAGGTCAAGGAGGAGGGATGGAGCCAGTAAAGGTGAGTGTAGGTAGGGAGTTGGGATGGGCGTTTGTCGGGAGGGAGGGGCTGGTAGGTGGGAGGGAAGACGGACAGGTCAAAGGGGCGGGGATGAGGCTAGTAGGAAGGAAGTGGGGGTGG